GCATTGATCACTAATATGCACATAAGCTACACAACTGAAAACTTTAAGATGTGAGTTTTACCTCCTTTTCGCACCATACCTCCTCTGGTATTCTGTGCTCTAATGGAACCGATGGATCTCAGTTGATCAAGTAAGCTGTTGTGTTGACCGCTTTTGCCCAGAACTACTTCGGTAGGCTTGACTGTATCCGAATGTTTCTGGCTCTCTGTCAACGTTCGGTTCATCCGTTCAGTTACACCCTTTTGCTGAGGCGTGTCAGGCACGGTTCTCTCCATTCTGTTCTCGTGCTCATAGCAAAACTTCTTGAATCCGGTGTCTTCATACTCACCGTCATTGTCGGTCCTTAGTTTTTTTATTTTCAGACCGGTCTCATTCTCGACCATGGCTTTTCATCTCCTGAAAACCTCCAATACTTCTGACTTATGCTTCAGAAAATAGACCCACACTTTTCGAGTGATTATCGATAAAAGTCACGAAGTAGTGTTTCCCATCAATGGACGCGGTGGTGGTTGGTCCCCAAACATCTGAGTGAACGTGCTCTAGCTGTTCTTTCCTAGGGGTTCTGTCACTTGTCTGAAAGCTGACTTTTTTCTGCTTTCCAAGTATGCATTCTTCACACATGCAACTCCACTGATTGTAAACCTGAGAGTTTTCCCTTTGTGTGCATAATCTTCATCCCCTTTTCACTCATGGCCGAGTCTCTGGTGCCATAGCTTTGAAGTCTCATTGCCTGTTACAACTAAGATCAAACAACGTGCACCTCCTGTCATATTCAGGGTACCAATCTTCTAGCCTCGGACAATCATCATTGCGTCTTTTGAGATCTTCCAATCATCTCCATGAAAGGTCGTAGTGTATCCTTCGCCAGCTAATTGGCCTATGGATATTAGGTTTTTTTCTCAGGTCGGGAATATGCCTGACATCCTTCAGCTTTCATACTGACCCGTTCAACTTAATTTTCACTACACCTTTTCCTACAATAGCATTCAGTTGATCATCACCAATGTATACATATCTAAGATTTTCGGGAACATACTTCTCGAAGAATTCTTTCTGAGAAGTAGCATGGAACAACGCTCCTGAATCTAATACCCAAGATTTCTCCTTGCTCTCCATAAAGCATATCAATGCGTCATCTCCTCCTGAGGTGGAAGTGACATTCACCTCTGCCTTCGCCTTCTCTTTCTGTGCACTCTTGTACTGATTCTTGTAATGCTCGGTCTTTTTACAATTCTAACACTCGATAGCCTTCGAGCCGTTGTTTGGATTCATTGACTTGGACCTCCTGTCATTTGATCTACCTCTGTAGTTTGATTTGCCTCGTCCGTTCCCTCTGGTTGAATTTCTACCTCTTGACTCTGTATGCAATATTGAAGAGGTTATAGCTTCACTCGACTCTCTTCGTCAGATCTCCTCACTGAGAATCTGATCACAAATGTCATCGAACTTCAACTTGTTGCTTTCCGATGAGCTACTCACAGCTGTGACTGTAGCGTTCCAGCTTTCTGGTATGGAAGACAAAAGGATCAACGTTCGAACTTCCTCATGAAACTCAATTTTAACTGAACTCAATTGGAGTGTGATCATGTTGAGTTCATTGAGGTGTTGTGCTACTCAATGTTACATTAAATGCTAGGCGCTTCTAGACGTCGGACTTGACGCCCAGCGCTTAGTCGCCTAGGCGGGCGTCTAAGCGGTTTCTGGACGTTTTTTTAATTGTGATACTTGAAGATAAATATCTATATACTCAATCAAAGATGCATAAATACTAAAATACCAACACTGTTAACTAAATTGCTTGGTTTACCAATTACAATAGCTCTTTGTATGTTTATACTTCTCAACTCAAATTATAAGTTTATCTTAACAGTGAAAAACTCATTCTCAACTCAAATTACTGTTAACTTATAAGTTACTGTTAAGTTTAAGTTAACAATAAACTTAAACTTAAGTAGTTAAGTTTACTGTTAACTAAAATATTGTTAACTTAAGTTCACTGTTTACTTAAACTTAAGTTTACTATCAACAAAAAACTTAATATTAACTTAAACTTAAACTTAAGTTTATTGTTAACTTACACTTCTTAAGTTTAAGTTACTGTTGTTAACTAACTTAAATAGATATTTAAGATGTACTATTTACCTTGTTAGTAGTTACAGAAATCGGATGAGCTCGGCAATATTATAGAAGGCGCTAGGCAGAATAGGCGTTTGAGTGAGCGCCTAGTGCCTAGACCCCTGGGCGTACGTCTAGGAGTTTGACTATTTTTAAATTATTTAATTATAATAATTGATAAAAATATGTATTAAATTCATATAAATTTTAAAAAAAAATAGCAATCTTAGTTCCACAATAAATCATGCATACTTAGATACTAAATAGCCAAAATAATATTTAACAAGGCTAGTGCCTAAAATGTTTTCTTTTTTTTATTTTTAATTATAATAATTGATAGTGAATGTCAATGTTATAGAAAGCTTAGATGCCGGATTGATGTCTAGACGGATTTCTTTCTTCATTTAAGTGGTGGTCGATGAGATTTTGCTGAAGGTCGGAGGAGGTAGTGGAGGTGTTCATATTTGGAGGTTAATAGAGTTTGGAGGACGTGTAGGCTACAACACATAAAATCACAATCAAGGCCTACAGGGTGCAATCCACGTAAACAGATAATGCTCCTCTAAACGTTCGTAAAATCTAGGTGGGCAGCCTAAATACCGTCTAGACGCTAGACGCTAGTTAGGCGGCCTAGGTACCGCCTAGGCCTAGGCATACGCCTAAGCGGACTAGGCGAAGGTTTTTTAAAATAGTGGTGCTACTGACGCGCCTTCCGCCATTCTTAGATTGAATAACCGCCTCATTAAATGAACTTTATTTGCGGCTGATGGCTTCTCATACATATTTGAGAGTGCTGTCATAAAACCCGCCGTGGTCTTCTCCTTCGCAATATTGAACGCAACATTACGAGTTAACGTCAATCTGATAACTCCGAGGGCTTGTCTGTCTAGAAGGTTCCACTCATCTTCCTTCATAGAATCCGACTTCTTCCTCGAGAGAGGTTGATACAGATTTTTCTGATACAGATAATCCTTTATCTGTATTTTTCAGAATCCGAAATCTGTTCCATCGAACTTCTCTAATCTCACATTGCCTTCATCTGCGGCCATCGCTCCCACTTGAATCTGACTTCCTCTAAATCGTTTCATGTTCTGATACCAGTTGTTGGGGTAAACCCGGGGCTACGCTAAACCCCTAAAACAACAGAAACGCAGTATAGAGAAAAGTACACCAATATTTACGAGGTTCGGCAAACTTGCCTACGCCCTCAGGAGCCACACAATTAAGTTCTTATTAATCAACAAGAAATTACAATACAAGAGCAGAGCTCAAACTTGAGATCTCTCAATAAATACAATCTTCACTGTAGCTACAGTGAAGATTCTCCTCTCTTAAATATTCCCCCTCTTAAATTCTCTCTTTAATTTTTCTTAAAATCTCCCCTCAAATTCATTGTTGAGAGCTGGAGAAAAAAAAGGAGAAAGCAGAAGAGAAATCGCCTCTGGGAAGAGAAGAAGCGCCGCCGCCAAGAAATCGCGAGAGAAAATCTCGGATCTAGGTTTCCCTTTTATAAGGAAACCCTAGCATCGAGCTGTCGACAGGTTGTCGACAGCCTGGGAGAAGCTCGCCCACGCTCGAGGAGCTCGCCAGCTTGCCCCGAGCTCGCCTGTCTTGGATCGACCCCGCCTGCATCCCGCTCGCTCGCCTGCGGAAGTTCTCGAGCTCGCCTCAACATCAAGCTCGCCTGCAGCTGCTTCGAGACCTCGCCTGCGTCGTCGACTCGAGCTCGGCTGAAGGTTGCGAGCTCGCCTGCAGCTGCGACGTCGACCGGAGCTCGCCTGAAGGTGAGTTTGGGCTACACACCCAGATCCAACACATGAAGAAACCAAAACTACAACACATACTGAAAACCGATACTGAAAAACAAATGTGTGGCGAAACTAATCATGAAAATACATATAGATACATGTAGGTATCATGAGGATCTCTCTGGCATATGCAACATAGTGTAAGTGAGTAAGCAAGTATGTGGCTCTTCAAATATGCTACCTGTCACCATAGCATCGTAGATCTGAACCATGACAGTAGGTGAGATCATCTGGACTGAGTCTGCCTGCCAAGCAGAGAAGTTACTTGTACAAAATCTATTCTAACTAGCTGCTGAAAAAAAAAGGCTTCCCCTGATAAAGTTTTCATTGGACCCAACATCAATAACAAGGAAGATGAATACCCAAGCGAACGTATTTCTGCTACATGGGTATAGCTAACATAGCATAGCTACATAATAGCCTCAAGCCATGATCCTCGGAAGGGTCTCATGTACAGATGTATTATGGCAGGTAAATGTTTTCAATTTCTCAATTGGGCTTCATCTGATGATATTGAATCCAGTAATATGACGAGGACATATTTTTGGACTTCTTTAAATGGTGGCTTTTAAGTAGTGGATAATCAAACTCTACTGATGTAACTCTAATTTTTATTTCTACTGATGTAACTCTACTTTTTCATTGGTTTTTTAATCATTGAACTTCTTCATTTTCTACACTCTTTTTTGGTGTATTTTCATATCTTTATTGTATAATATGCATCATTATAAACTGCTTCCTTGAGCTCCAGTACAACTGGCTATGTTTTGTCTCATTGTAGTTTTTCACATTAGAAATTCTCTTATTATCTTCCCATCTAGCCTTTATTAGATATACATTTCACCTGTAAATTAAACTCTCTGTAGTATTTATTCCCTTTTCTTTAACATATTGTTCACCTTCTTTTTTGAAATATGTTCATATATTTCATAGGTGGTTAGGCTTTTTTCAGCTCTCTATTTGGCTCATCTTCTGCAATTGTACATCTAAGTTTGTGTTGGTTACTAGTTATATGTACTTGAAATTTTCTAGAATATCCTCTTAATTCCCATCTCATTTATCTAACATTATGTGCAGGGTGTATGGTAATCCTCTATGCAATAATGCAAACCAAATGAACTTGTTGGACTCCTGTCAACCTCAGATAATAAACCCAGCATCAGGAAGTGTGACCAACTCCGAAATAAGTTGTTCGCCTTGTCCTACAGATCAGGACTATGAGTATAATCCTTTGTCTCCTATACCTTGTCTATGTGCTGTTCCACTTGGAGTTGGATTGCGGTTGAAAAGTCCATCAATCTCGGATTTTCGTCCTTATATTGATGATTTTAGAGTTGACATGACCTCTCTTCTGGACTTGCATCATTATCAGTTGTATTTTAGTTTATATACCTGGGAAAAAGGTCCAAGGTTGAGAATGTACTTGAAGTTATATCCAAGTAATACTAGTTTATTTAATGCAAGTGAGGTTCTGCGGCTCCAGCAGAAGTTTACTGGATGGGAGATTACACTTTCAGATACTTTTGGACCATATGAACTCCTCAACTTCACATTGGGTTCTTATGTGAATGGTATATACGATACTCTATATTGTTCAATTTTAGATTCACTAACACACAGAAATTATGATGAGTATTCTATCTCTGTCGAGTGCAAGTTGAAATTTTGATTTACTATTATGAGAACATAATGACTGCTGAAAGTTCTTCAAGCATGCATGAACTTAGTCAGTTACTTAAGTGCATAATTTGACAAAATTATTAGCCAAGACGACAGCATTTTAGTTTCATTAAAATATAACTGTTGTTTCCTAAATAATCTGCAATTATATCCAGTAGCTAGAATGAACAAGAATAATAAACCATTTCCCCCTTCCTCAAAGATCAAAAGTAGAAATTCTAACCAGATATCCTGCATGGTTCATTCACGATAAAAGATGGCTTCTAGACATTTATTTTGTACAAAAATTCCTTCTGTTCTAATTTACTTTATATGAAGATATGAAGGTTGGGTATTCAAATTAACCATGGATTTACTAGGAGTAGGGTCTCAAATATAGGTTTCAAAGCACTTTGATGAAATGATCAAATATTAAGCTAGGAAATCTTAATCTGAGTTTCCTATTTAATCGAGTAGCCTCTATATCAAGCTTCTTGGCCAAACTAAACTAATAATCACACAACTTGTGGACATTTTTAGTCCTCAGTCTCAACCTTGATCACCAAACTATGAGGCTGTACTCTCCCTTGGATCATAATTTGTGTGGCTGCTGTTGGAGGATACTTGAGCCCCACCTTGGAATTGAGGGTGATATTATATTTGGGGCGGATAACACATTAACCCAAATTTTTTCTGAGTGAGATACTTATCTCACTTGTTGACTAATATGGGCCTTAAATATAAGGTTGCAAACCACATGCCCCAAAAACTTATGCTCATAACTCTTGATCCCAACTTTCCTTTGTATTTCTGTTCACCTCTTGAATATGGAATAATATTCACCCCTGAACATATGAGTAGCTGCACATTTATGTAGATAATAGATGCCTTGGCCCTGTTGATCCTATTTCCAATTATAAAGTCTAAAGAGTTGATAAGTCGCAACCAGCCACACCTTTTCATGTGAAAAGAAGATTTTAGCATTTGCAAAGTTATATGGTTCTAACTTATTTGTGATTGTGCATGCAAAAATTATAATGAAGATGTGAAAACACATTGTTATACTTATATTCAATTGATTGAAATATATAGTTCTATGTATACAAAAAGAGGAATGGGCTTATACATCTCGTGAAAGGATATAAAAATTTAATACGTGGACCTTGGTTGTGAAATATCAATAAGTTGGTGGTGTGAATGTATATACCCCACCCCCCCTCCCAACGTGGGGATTTTTTTTTTGAATATTTATTGAAGATATTCAACTCTATAGACTGAAGTCTATCTTTATCAAAATTTCTGTCATGGAGCATCACGAACACTTAACTACACTAATCCATGAAATAATTAGGAACTAAAAATTGACTTCTAGTTCCTTTTTCAGAATTTCATAGATTGAAGTTTACAAAATATTTAGTTATATATATGCTTAATGTTCTTTCTTACTCATACTAAACATTGTGTTCATGAACATAATCGAATATAGGGGGCATGAAGTTTTTCCAATAAACCTACAGGCAATTTTTGACTAAGAATTATTTGGAAAGGAACTAATCACACCGTTTTCATTTTGAAGATGGAAATAATATAATTTATGTAATTGGCTGGTTTGTTTTGCTACATGGAGAAGTCCATTGCTTATTGTCCTCTTGATGCCAAAGTATTCGTCTCTTAGTGTCCTAGAAATAGGTTGAAACTAATTGATGCAGTGTATTATATTTTAAAAGCTGAGAAATAATGTTATGCTGTCACAAGCAGGGGATTTCACATCCTATGTTACTATTTAAGATATTTTCTTCTGTAACGATCATTTTTAAGTTATTATTATGTAATGTTGAAAGATGACATGCTAGCTTTTTTGTTTTGACAAATTTTACTTTTTCAGAAATCCCAGGGGCTACGGCATCTTGGTTGAGCAAAGGCGCCTTTGCTGGCATCTTGTTAGGTTCACTTGCTGGTGCATTTATTTTGTCTGCGACAGCTATAGGTGTTATCATGAGAAAGCGTTCCAGATATCGTGCACTTTCAAAGCAGTCAGGTAAGTTTTTGAATTGTCCATAGGAATTCTTATTTAGATTGTATTAGTATTCTTGAAATCTGTATTAGTTAGAACATGTTGCATAACATAAATAGTTCTCCTCTCTGTTATTTTGTAGGTTTTTCCCCTGATATTTGTCCTCCAAAAGAAAACATAGGTTATAGGTCCCATAAATATCATACTAAGATTTAGTATCCCAATTCGTTAAGTTACATCGAGTAGGTTCTTTTAGATGTAGTCTGCTCATGTAGAAAATGTATTTATTGGGACAGCTAATTGAGTTATCTGAAGTACAATACTATTACTCTGCACAGATTACTTCATGATCTAATACCTCCATAATGATAGATAATTCTTCGTTCTCTTATTTTTTGAAGGTGTTTTTTTCTGATATTCATCCTCCAAAAGGATATAGCTCCTGTTAAATCTCATACTATAATTTAGTATCCATGCAGGTAGTAAAAAATGCATAAAAGATCAACCCAATGCAGCATGGGGCCACTAGGGGCAATTTGGTCATTTGACTTGACCAGGAGACTTATTGAATATCAACAAAGTCAATAAGGTTTGCTAAGGATATGGGATCCCAATTCTCAAGAGAAAAAGAGTAGAAATGGTCTTAGTCTATCCAAAATAGACTTCGGGTTGCTGAGAGAAAGCCCCATGAGGCTAAACCATGACTAATCCCATGTAGCTCAATTGAGCCATAACCCCATGTAGCTCGATCCATCTTAGGGGTGGGCGTGGGTTGGTTTGAACTGCAGGTGGAACCAGCCCAACCCACCTTAGGTCGAGACCAGGCCCGACCCACAGTGAGTTGGGTCCAACATGGCACATGATACACCCAAGCTACGGGCCAGGCTGGGTTCTACACTAAACCCGCAGACAAAGAAGTAGCCTTGGCCCACGCCTGACTCGACCCACGTTTGACCTGGCTGGCCCAACCCAGCCCGACCCGCCTTAGGTAATAGTTATATTTTGATGTATTTAGTAGCAACTCATTTAAAAATTGCAACCTTCATGTGTTTGAATTGTCATTTTAGTAGTAGTATAGGTTTTCGAAGCTCTATTCAGTATTTTGATGAATTTTTATAATCATTTTGATTTATTAAAAACACAAATTATTGTGAATCTTTTGTCCTTTGAGATAATTCTATCACCAATTGAAAATTTATACGGTTTAGACTTTTTATTATGATAAAATACAACTCTTTAAACTATACATATTAATCTAACAAAAAAATTAAAAAGAAAAAATTGAAAAGAAAAAATTTGAACAAAAAAAAAAAGAATGTGGGTCGACTCGCAAATCAATAGTTTTTTTGCCTCGTAGGCTCTAGTTAGTTTATCCGGCTTGCTTTGCTTGCAAAGCTTGGTATTATTCATCATTATCGCTCCTTCTTGGGATTTTGTTTATCTTTGGAGGTGATCCCTCCGAGGGAAATTATATATCTTTGGAGTTTTTCTCATCATCTCAAGGCAACCCATTCAGGACGAGGTTGAGTTTTTCAAATAGAGCTCCCCTACTACCAAATTTGACAAGAAAGATTAAGATAATCTTGATAACTCAAAGCTTTTGTTCTTCTTGTTTCTGCTATTAAAAGGGGTTGCGGACCTAGAACATTCTACTTGTCTCAAAAATTGGATGAAGATAACCTTGAGTGCAGAATCAACCACAACATTACAATGATTGTTGAGCAGTGCCTCGCGACCCTATTGTGAACCAACATCCCGGCAACTTGATTTTAAACTAGTAGCCCCGCGATGCTGATAACATGTTCGTAGAGTTTAGTCCTTATCCTATAAATGAACTCAGGTTGACCAAGCAGCCAATTTGCCCCACAATGTGATGCCAAGCTATCTCTATTGCGGAGTTAACTTCAAGAAGAGCAAAAACACCAGTCCCCTAAGGAGTTGTGGAACCTAATTCTTTATATGATTAGAGGAGCAATTTGAATGCTGAATTGCCAAAGTGTGCTAGCGATATTTCTCATGCCCTTTATGGAGTCCTAACTGTACTCGATCTCGATTGCCACATTGCTATAGTTGGACATCTATACTGCTGCACTCTTTGTCATCGTGCAGGGGGAGCCTAGTCAATTTCATCGTGTTGTCACTCCAACATGCAGTAGCGAGAGACTTCGTTTTTCAGTCGGTTAGCTAGGGTCCCACTCAGATTCTCTAGAATCCCGTAAAAAGGAGAACTACAAAGTTAGACGATGATAAGCTGTTGTTCATGACCATCCTTAGGGCTTGTTTGGTTTGATTTCCATAAAAAAAGGAAAAGGAAAAGTGGGCAAAAATTAGTTTCCAAGTGTTTCTATAAAATTGCATGGAAATATTTTTGGTAGTGTCAAAAAGTTGGACTTTCTATCTTTTGTACCTTTCCTAGTTCGGTTCAAAAGCACAAACAGGGAATCTTTAAAAGAAGAAAAGGTTTCTTGCCTTTTTTTGTTTGGTTCACTTGAAAAAGAAGAAAAAGAGGAAAAAGTTTCTATGAAGTGGAGAAAAGAGTAACATTTTCATGGGATAAAATGGGTTTTGTCAGTTCCCCAGCGATTTTCTCTTGGAGGAAGTGGGTTTCTACAAAATATACCCATTTTCTCTACTTTATAGAAACCTATCTCTATAAAAATTTGGTGAACGAAACTGAGTTTTAGGAAACCTATAGAAACTATTTAGTTATAGAAATACCATTGTCAGATGATTTCTATAAATTTGGTAAACGAAACAGCCCCTTATGATCAGTCATAGACACAAAAATGCCAACATTGACACTTGGGGTGGTGAGCACTACACTAAGAGATGAGATCACAAACTCACTCTATTTGACTCCAGTTTTGAAGGTTTATATTGGATAGCCTGTAGACAGTTAAAAATGCAAACCATCTTGCAAGATAAACCAAGTACAACATGGTCCCCACCGAGGGTAATTTGGTCATTTAACATGATCAGTGGACTTATCAAATGTCAAAAGTCCACAAGTTGGCTAAGGACAGGTGCCGTAAATTTGAAGTCAAAGCAGAGTGAAAACAGCCTTACCTCCGTACAAAACAGATTGAGGTCGCGGAGCTAAAGGGTCGCAGAGTTAAAAGGGTCGTAGAGCTAATAGGTCCGCACATAATTAGCTCTGTACAAGAGTTAACTCGGCAGATAGAACAAAGTTTGAAGTCGCCTTAGCTCTGTGATGGTTGCATTGCTAATTGTGGGAGACAATCCAGATTGATGGTGACATGTGTCGAATGTCAAATCATGAAAGCTGTCGCTGAGATACTACATTTCATGCAATTGATCCGTTGTACACAATCCTCTCAAAGACTTGGTTGAAAATCACCCTAGAGGACGGGTGAATAGTGTGAGGTGGCAACTTTTAGAAATTTAAACTTTTCTTGTTTAACTAATTGTTTTCCCTAACAAGAGTTATATCTTTTAAACAAGTTAAACAATTAATCTATTTCTCAATCTCAAAGTTACTTGCAATGATATAATAATAAATGCGGAAATATAAAATGCAAGTAAAGAGATCACCATAAAAAAGCACAACCATAAACAAAGAGATTTTTAGTGGCCCAACAATCTTGCCTATATTCACTTCTCTCGACCTCAAGAGTTTCACTCATTACTGCTAACTTGAAATCTGAGTTACTCCATATCATGGAAGTCGAGGCCTCCTTATACCTCGATTTTACGGGAGTTGAGTGGTTTCGTTCAACTCACTTCTGTCTATGCTAGACAATGAGCAATGCCTTGATCTTATGGGAGTTAAAATACTCCATTGGTGGATCTTCTATACCTTCGAGAGCTAACCTCTAACCTCTTAACACTTTAGAGATCGAAAACAATCTCCTAACACTTATGAGATCAAATCACAATACACTATCTCTTTTAACAAGAAGAGATCTTTAAGCACAATATAACAATATATACTATTGCAAAACAATTATTAATAACAACTAGAAGCATGACTCTCTAAATAGAAATGATAAAGCTCGTGATTTTCTAGGTTTAAACGATTCTTTAATCAAGATCCAATTCTAATAAAGATATATTAATTAAATAATAGTAGAATTGATTAGAGAAAACTTAGCCAGAAATCGAATGTGAAAAAGAGGAGATTTTGATCTAGAAAGCTTGCTCCTTTTTTCACCCGGAACAATCTTAAATGAATAGACTTTGTAGATAAAGATGGTTGAAGAATATTGTAGGATTTTATTTCACAGAAAGAATGAAAAAATAAGCTCAAGAAGTTGGGAATGTATAAGAATTTACTCTCTTAGAATTCTCTATTTTTCATTTACCATTTCACAATGAAATGACGCTTTATGTATAGGCTAATGGTGGGGGATAGATCTTCATATACTATATAAAGATTCCTTCCAATTCTACCCATTAGAAATTCAAAATAGACCTAAAATCATCGTTGAAAGGTAAAAAATAGGCCAATCCCAACGAATATATTACTAAAAATGGCAATGTATCAAATCTTTAACGGGAAGATTTTTGCCCATTACTGACCCACGGATGGGTAGCCGCTTGGCCCCTAAACCGTCTTGTTAGTGGTTCGCACAAGCCATTTTTCCGTTGACTCATCTCTCTGCAATTTTCTCCAGATTTTCTCTATGTTTGGATTTTTCACAGTATTTATAGTTTTGCCACTGGTTCACTAAATTGGTCGTAACTTAAGTAACTTAACAACTCAGAATTGACTCAAACTATATGCCAAAGAAGTCAAAAAAGCACGAGGACGTCAAGGGCATCATCTGGATTCGTAATTTAATGATAGACAATCCCATCTGCTTCAAAGCTAAGAGTTAACAAAAGTTAAAGATAGAAGTTTACAGGAAATACCTAAACACCTCCACGTCATTGTGTATCATTATTGTTGTTCAGTGGATGTTTGTATTTTATTCTCTTTGAAGCAAAGTCCATTTGTCTTCATTTGTGAATCGCACTTTGGCGAAGTTTGCTGATCAATTGGTTGGCGAACTTCACTGGCGATTTTGAATTTAACATAGAATTCGACTCGTAACTTAGCCGACTAAATGACGCCTTTCGACTCGGCCTAAAGTTCGAAATGGGAGTCGACCCACTCTTGATTGTGTCGGGTCGGGTCGAGATGAACTGTATGGCGTAGTTCACATGTTCCTCTACCTGAACTTCGTTACAGTTTATTGTGGGCTCGACTTTGGGCCCATTTGAAGTGTTTAGCCTCATGAGTGTTCACTTCTTGGTTGTAAACCGAATCATTGGCCTGTTTATTTTAACCGTCTACAGCAGCTCCAAGCGTCCCTATCGCGGCTCCCCTCGTGACTTGCCTCACTTGTTTTCAAGAACTTCTACAATACAAGCCTTCTCGGTCAAAAGCAACTCCATCAATTGCCAGAGAATACAGATCTCTGCAGAACCGCCCTTTACTTGGGACAACTCTTATTGAAGCCACTTAATCTCAGCCTTTATCAAAAAGAAACTCTGATCGGGAAGGAGGCTTAGATATGGAGAAGATGAAGATGGAAGAAAATAGGGACAAAAGGGGCTAAAGGATAGCTAAATTCTAGGGTGTGAGGTGAATCTCACCGAATATTTGATTGCACAGAGAGATCCTAGCCTCAAATATCTAAAGACAACAGTCTTGGCGACCCTCGTCAATCAGTGAACCTTGTCTAAATAGTCAAAGTTGAGCGATTATCGCCAAAATTAAGTCAAAGTGGAGCACAACCAAACTTAACCCTAATGGGCTAAAGGTAGTATAGCTCCGTGATAGCCGCCAAGTTTTTCTTTGGGTGGTAATTTGAAATGATGTTGACGTGTAGGTGGTCAAATCACTATACTTGCTAGTGCACGCATCTAGCATTGTTCATTGAAGATTGTGCTAATTATCCCTACGACCCTATAATGTTTGGTCATGGAGATAAAAAGGCTATTATAAATTTTGCTCTGATCATTTAGTCCCACTTCACTGACAATAGTAGCTTTGCGACCATAAAGTTCTAAAAAGTGTCCCGAATAGTACTACGTTACAATTAATTAGTAGGGTGGCGTCAGCCCTGCAATCGGAGTTAAGCTCGGTGACACCCTCAGATTTTAGCCTATATATACCCTCCACCATTTCAAGGGCTCTTAGTTCATTCCGTTGGCTAGGGTTTTTGCTGGCAGCTGCCTTCTTCATCTCTTCCCCATTTTAGCTCCGCCACCCGAAATTTTACTATTGCAAATCAAGAGTTCTTTGCCTTCATTGGCTCTAGTTGGTTTATCTGGCTTGCTTTGCTTGCAAAGCTTAGTGTTCTTCACCATTATCACTCCTGATTGGGGTTTCGTTTATCTTTGGAGGTGATCCCTTTGAGGAAAACTATATCTATTTGGAGTTAGCTCATCATCCCAAGGCAACCCCGTACAAGACAATTGAGTTCCTCAAATAGAGCTCCCCTCATACCAAATTTGAGAACAAAGATGAAGACAATCTCGACAACTGAAAGCAATGTCATTCGTGTGGTCAACATAGCCAAGATCTAGTCGCTTTCAGCACATCTCCCCATAATCTCAAACTTGTAATATTTAAGTGAACAAGTGTAATATATATATATGTGTGTGTGTGTGAATATGGATATCATTGGTACCAAGGACCAATTTTGGTCTTTGATAGTGAAGTGACTCATTCCCATCCACTCATTTTCAAGGAGGGGACCATTTCCAAATGGAGACCATTCAAATGTGTGAATAATTAGGTGGAGACCATTTTCAAATGGCTACCTTTATAGGTATACATGAGAAGCATGCACGTCACTACCAAGCACCAATTTAATGATTGCGTACCATGTGTACTCATGGTGTACTCGTATATATATATATATATAGTATATATAATATATATATATATATATATAATATATATATATATATATATATATATATAATATATATATATATATATATATATATTTATATATTTATATATATACATATATAATTCAAATTGTGAACTTTTGGGCATGAAAATAATCCCAATTCATTTAAGTTATACCTAGTCGGCCTTCTAGAAATAATCTGTTAAGTTAATGTAAACTTCCTAATGACAGTTTTGTATTCGCCCTACACCTTTATCTTCATCTACGTACATACCATTTATTGCATGAGGACACTAGTGGCATTAAGATACGGGGAGGGTTGGATAGAGGGTTAGCAAAAGGTTTTGCATGTCATAAAGCGAGATGACTTGTGGAGAATGGGGCGCGAGTTTGTGTATAAGAGGGGGATGAGATATATGGTATGGAAGATTAGGTGAAGGGATAGTTAGAGGGGCTGGGTTGGGGGATGAGGGATAAAGGGGAGAAAGGATAGGAGGGAGGAGAGATAGGGTATAGGAAGGGGTTTGGTGGAGAGGGGGGAGAGAGAGGTTAGGTTGAGGAGATGATGGGTTGGATTTAGGATAATGAGAAGTTTTGATGCTCTATAGCTTAGGTAGAGAGAAATGATTGTTGCTTAGGTGAGAATTTCAAATGACTGTTGCTTAAGAGAGGGAAAGGGAGATAGTAAATACAGTAGGCATAATTTTATTGGATTGTTAACCCAGCACGAGTCATTTTAAAACGGGAAGCAGAAGGATTTACAATGCTATTTGGCTATTGTTAATCCACTGTTAAAGATTATCAAGTGCACACAAGGTTCTTGATAGCAGATAGCTTCGCATAGCGGTGAGGCAGTGTAAGGCTATTGTGGCTATAACAGTTTATTGCGCAAAGTCAAATGGCAATTCAATTTAGATATGTATAAATATTCAAAAAAATTACAGAAAAATCTAAAATTTCTACAAATGCATATTTGATGATTTATAGGGTTCCTAAGTATGAAATAGATGTGTAACAATTGCATAATATTAACAAAGTATTGATGCAATAATTCCCCCAAAACAATTATACCTTTTAACAATTTGAATTTCAGCCTAAAATCAATCACTTAAAATCATATATTTCATTTCATTATTTTCTCCATAGCCACAACCTCCATGTATCCTCTCGTACCCACTGTTTTTTTTCCTCCGATATGTCCATTAAGGTCACCTCTTATGCATAAATTCTCCAACAGATATCTAAAAGTACACAACTCCTCTATTATCTCAAACTTTCAGAGTTGCCTACCTGATTTCTTTTTTTTAACTGACTATATTAGGATCTATGTGCAGTGACATGAGATATGGACAGACTGCAGAAAATAATTCTAATATTTTCACAGGATTACGTTGTTGATATGCATGTGTGGGTGTGTGTGATTCCGTTTTATTTAACATTCGAAGTGTGTACCCATACGATCTCTTGTCTTTTGCAGTGTCAAAAATCTCAATCAAAGTTGATGACGTGAAATGCTTTAAACTTGAAGAAATGGCATCAGCTACAAAGAATTTCTGTAATTCAATGGAAGTTGGTCGTGGAGGCTACGGTAAGGTATATAAAGGAATTTTGGCTGATGGAACACTTGTAGCCATAAAGCGTGCTCAAGTAGGATCACACCAAGGCTCAAAAGAGTTTTTGACAGAAATTGTGTTGCTTTCAAGGTTACATCATAGGAATCTTGTTTCTTTAGTTGGATATTGTGATGAAGATGATGAACAGGTATACTTTCTATCCTGGTGTCATTATGGTTATCAGGTGCAATTTTCTAGTAAAAGTTGTTCCTTTACAGACTTATGTGCGGTAGAATTTGCTTTGTGTTAGTTAAAAACTTCAATTCTGAATGCTGAATCTAAGTTTACGTGTGATGAAGGATTTAGCATTGAAAGCTCACATATTTATAAACAGCCATACAAATAATTGATGTTTGTAAAACGACTATTTGTGCACATACTTGGTCCTGTGATCATTGTCAAGAGGCACGTAAGTAGATCGTGGCGCCAGTACATTAAATGATAGATACTGGACGCATAGGCATTTCACATTATTCTGTTTGATTATACTGTTGGGTTTGTTGTCTTCTCCACAGAAGATAGGACATCTATCTGTCAGATCAAGAGAACAGAAAGAACATTGTTTTGTACTTTGCTCACACCACTAAAGCATAGGAACTTATTTAGATAATACCGTTGAAAAATACTTGGATCTCAGGATCTCATATAGCGTGAGAGTTCTTTGTCGTTCCGTTGGGTAATATTTTTATCGAGATTGCTGTTTGGATTCCAGGAGTTTTCTTCTTTAGTGGTTTCGGTTTAACTTGTAACTACAAATAAAATATAATCTTGAATTATTGGAAATAAATTAACATAACTGTTAGAAGTGATAAATCAGAGAGTCTACACTTTTCATTCATCCACATAGGTTTATATAGGAGTACATATGAGTAATAGGCTAATGGGTTAATGGGCCCTAACTTGATAACCCAAATACTAATTCTAACACTCCCTTTCAAGCTGGAGCATATATATCAACCATGCCCAGCTTATTACATAGAATGGAAAACACCTTAGGTGATGTAGCTTTAGTGAGAATGTCAGCTAACTGTTCTGAAGACGGAGTGAACTGAAGAGAGATAACTTTCTTTTCCCAAGCATCTCAAACAAAATTATAATCAACTTCAATGTGCTTAGTTCTCTCATGAAATACTAGATTCTTTGTAATATAGATAACGGACTGGTTATCACAATGCATAGGCATAGGTCTAAGCTGGGTAAAATCAAGCTCTGTTAATAGCTTCTGCAACCATATCATCTCACATGCAGTGTGAGCCATAGTTCTGTATTCTGCCTCTGCACTAGATCGAGAAACTACATCTTGTTTCTTGCTCGTCTAAGTAACCAGATTTCTTCCAATAAAGGTGCAAAATCCAGAAGTAGACTTTCTATCTCCTATGTCTCCCGCATACCAAGCATCAGAAAAGACAGAGATATGTAAATGTCTATGTTTCTTGTACAATAATCCTTTTCCAGGATAGTATTTAACATAAGCTAAAATCCTCAAAGCAGCAGTCCAGAGATATGTAAATGTCCATGTTTCTTGTACAATAATCCTTTTCCAGGACAGTTTTTAACATAAGCTAAAATCCTCAAAGCAGCAGTCCAGTGAACCTCTCTTGGTTTATGCATAAATCTGCTCAGTACTCTCACTGTAAAGGTAATATCAGGTCTGGTCACAGTAAGATAGATAAACTTGCCAATCATTCTCCTATATTGACCTGCATCATCTAGGAGAGGACTATGATCACGCCACAAATCCACATTCATCTTCGTTGGAGTGCTTGCTGGCTTACACCCCAAAAGACCCATTTTTTCTAACAAGTCCAATACATATTTCTTTTGAGATAGAAGCAAACGATTTTTTTGATATGCAATCTTAATCCCAAGAAAGTATTTGGGTTTTCCCATATTTTTGGTCACAAAATGACGTGAAAGGTACTCCTTAGTCTCTGTTAAGGTAGTAATGTCACTCCCAGTTAGCAGGATGTCATTAACATATACTGTCAGAATCACCAAACCAGATTTAGTGCGTCGGATAAAGACTGAGTGATCAGACTGACATCTTTTAAAACCGACATTAGATATAGCAGTACTGAATTTCTCAAACCATGCTCGTAGACTCTGTTTGAGATCATAAATCGGTTTTTTAAGCCTATAGACGTTCTCCCTCTAAGCTACATACCCCGGAGGTTGCTCTATATAGACTTTCTTCTGTAAGTCACCATATAGGAAGGTATTTTTAACATCCAGCTGAAACATGGTCCGATCCAGATTAACAGCCATAGAGAAAAGTAGCTGAATAGAATTGAGATGGGCAACAGGAGAGAACGTCTCAAGATGGTCGATCCCATAGGTTTGAGCATAACCCTTAGCTACAAGACGAGCTTTATAACGATCAACTGAACTATCTGTGCTATACTTCAAGGTATAAACCCATCGACAGCCAACCACCGTAGCACCCGTAGGAAAAGGTACAAGATCCCAAGTCCTAGAAATAAGTGCATCCATCTCCTCATCCATGGTCTGTTTCCAAGCAAGAACTAACACGGCCTCCTCATATGACCTGGGTAGAGATATAGAGGACAAAAACAAAGCTAACTGACGAGAAGAGGGAGTAAGACGGTCATAGGAAATAAAATCAGATATAAGATGATTAGTACAAGACTGTTTACCTTTCTGATGAGCAATTGGAATATCAAGGTCAGAAGGATTAGGAGGAGGCAGACCTGCAACGGGAGATGACTATTCGGCTGGAGCAGAGAGGGACAAGAACCTTTGAACGGCGACAATACATCAGTAGTGACGGTGGTGCAGGTGGCACAGTAGAGGCATCCTGTAATCCTGGAAAAGATCTATCAACAGAAGGAACAGAAGCAGACAATGGAACAGTAGTAGGAGCACTAGACGGAAGAGGCACAGATGGATTGACAATTGGAGATGAACCATCCGAAGAGAAGTATGAAACTGACTCAAAAAAAGTAACATCTGCGGACACAAAATACCTCATGATGGATGGATTATAATACCGATAACCTTTTTGAGTGCGCGAGTATCCTACAAAGACACTTAATAGATCGGGGAGATAATTTATCCAGTCCCAGAGACATCCTGAACAAAACAGGTATAGCCAAAAAAATACGAGGAACCACAGGAAATGTTTGTTTATCAGGATAAAGGCACGTGAACGGTATTTTACCATTAAGAACAGAAGAGGGCATCCTATTGATCAGGAAACATGCACTGAGAACAACATCAGACCACAAATACTTTAGAACATTCATATGTATCATCAATGTTCGAGCAATATCTAAAATGTGTCTATGCTTCCTCAGCAACTCCATTTTGTTGTGAAGTGTGAGAGCATGAAGTTTGATGAAGAATACCCATATTTGCACAAAAACGAGAGATCATTTTTCATGTATTCCAAGGCATTATCGGTACGAAGGATACGAATAGAGGTGGGAAATTGATTTTTGATTTCATTGTAAAATATTTCAAAAACAGATGAAACCTCAGATCTCTCTTTTAAAAGATAAAGCCAAGTCATGCGAGAGAAGTCATCAACAAAAACCTCAGATCTCTCTTTTAAAAGATAAAGCCAAGTCATGCGAGAGAAGTCATCAACAAAGATAATAAAATATCTATAATTAAAAGATAAAGCCAAGTCATGCGAGAGAAGTCATCAACAAAGATAATAAAATATCTATAACCTCTCACAGAAGGTATACGATAAGGACCCCAAACGTCAGAATGGACTAACTCAAATGCAAAACTGTTGCATTTATCAACACAACTCTGATAGGTAGCACGATGGTGCTTACCCAGTTCACAAGACTCACAACCTAAAGAAGAGACAGACGACTCGATAGAAATGACTGACCGAAGTTTTGATAATGATGGATGACCAAGGCGTTGATGCCATAGTAAAGAATGATGAGACTTTTCTGCAACAAGACCAGTAGTGGGCGTATTGTCATCCAAATAGTATATGCCTTCTCTCTCATGTCCCGAACCAATCTTCATCCCAGTTGTTAGGTCCTAAAAAACACAATGAGAAGGAAAAAAATGACTTTACAGTTGTGTTTTGTGAACTGACTGATGGACAGTAAACTAACAGGAAACTTAGGAAGATATAAAACATCAGTAAGAGTCAGCGATAAAGTAGCATAGACTACTCCATCACCAAGAACTGGAGAGTATGTCCCATCAGCGATACGGACCGATGGAAACTTGTCAGAAAGGTTTAAGGAAACAAAGTGATCCTTTATACCTGTCATATGAGAAGAGGCTCCAGAATCTAATACCCATGGTCTGTGAGGAGGGGCAATGTAGGCAATCATACCTGAAGAGGATGCATGAGTAACAGTATAACTGTTTTGAGAGAGATCGAGTTGACGCAACCGGTCAAACTCAGCCTGAGAAATTAAAACTGTGGAGGAAGCAGAAGTAGTAGGAGAAGAAGCAGCAGAGGTAGTATCAGCTATTTGGGCCTATGCAGGACGATCAAATTTTTTCCAGCACTTCTCAGATATATGGTTCTTCCACAGTGGTGGCATTGACGCAGATTCCTATTTGAGTCAATTTGTCTTCCACCAAAAGAGCTTCGTCCTCCCCCTATGTCGCGGCCACGTCCACGACCACGACCTCGATCTCTGCCACGTCCGGAGAACATAGCAGACTGGTCAAGAGACAGAGTAGACAGTGAGGCAGCAGTATCTCCAGTAGTTACCTGCATAACTCTTGAGAAAGTAGCAGTCAAAGAAAGAATAGTATCTCCTCCTAGTATCTGGCCCCGCACTTGAGACTATAAAGTGGGACTCAGACCCGACAAGAACTTGGACACTGCAAGATCCTTACAATATCCCAACAGTGTTGGTGCATTCGTAACGGCGAGCTGATGCATCTCTAACTCATCGATGAAACTTTTCAGTTCACTAAAGTACTTACGTACAGAGCGATCACCATGTTGAAGAGAAAAAAGGCGTTGATACAACTCGAACACACATGATGCATTTTTCTCATTCCCGTACATAATTTTTAAATTATCCCACATCTCCTTAGCTATGTTTGAGAACATGACACTGCTATTGATCTGGGCTTCCATGCTGTTAAGGAGCCAAGTCATCACACAACAGTCAACAGAGATCCATGCGGGATACATAGGATCTGTAGATGCAGGAGGTGAGGCCAGAAGATGAGCTAATTTGTTCTGAGCACCAATGAAGATGCGGAAGGTTTGTGCCCAAAATAGATAGTTGGTGCCATTTAACTTCATCGTGGTCCCTAATACAACTTTAGGGGCAGAGATCTCAGTAGTAGTAGGGTTAGTAGTAGCAGCAGAAGAGATATCAGATCATGTTATCGGTACAGACAGGACAGTACAGTAGTAGAAGAGTCGTAATCTTATTGTACAAAACCCTAAGGTTTAGAATAGAAAACCCGAAGGTCAGTGTTCAGGAACCCGAAGGTTAGTGTGTAGGAATCCGAAGGTTAGTGTTCATAAACCCGAAGGTTAGAGATCTCATCCAAGAGATTTTTTTGTGGTATTATATAAATATATATATTCCTTTTTTTTTATCTGTAGCCCTTACACCCTCAACAAGAATACAACACTCCACTTAATACAAAGTCCAACTAGGCCCAAAAAAGAGCCCAAACCCAAACAAATTAAAAAAGTAGCAGCTAAAAAAAAGAAAAATCTCAAGAGGCCAAACAAATCACTCCGCAGGACGACAAAACAACCAGGCCCAACAAAAACACTCTGCAGGACGACGACGACAATGACGGTAGGCGCAGACGACGACGACGTCGGCTAAGGACGGCGACGAAGACTTGGATCTGGGTGAAGTCGAATGAAGTTGGCGGACAAAACAGCGACGGCGGTCGAAAGAGATTAGGGTTTTTTTGATTTAGGGTTTCAAACGCCGTCGACTCCGAGTTCAGAACCATCAGGAGTATGTTCGCGAAGAAGAAGCTCGCGAAGAAGATGAGGCAGAGAAGGCCGATCCCTCACTGGATCCATATAAGGATGAGGAAGATCTAGACGAAGAAGGGAAACAGGGAGAAGATCGGATCTGGATGAAACACGCGGTAATTTTTCATTTGCTGGCGATTAGGGTTTAAGAATTAGGGTTAGGGAATGCTCTGATACCTTGTTAAAAGTGATAAATCAGAGAGTCTATGCTTTTCATTCATCCACATGAGTTTATATATGAGTACATATGAGTAAAAGGCTAATGGGTTAATGGGCCCTAACCCGATAACTCAAATACTAATTCTAACAATAACTATAAATTAATTGAAGATAATTTAATTTTTCAATGTTTTTTTGAGTGGTCAATCACTTACATGTCTTTCAATGGAAGTTGATTTAATTATATTTTAATATATAACTAGGTTTTTACGCTTGTGTCGAAACTACTTTATTTCAGTTGATATGTTCACAGAAGGTGAGCCTTGGTGCAATAGTAAGATTGCTGCCTTTTGACCTAGAGGTCACAAGTTTGTCTTGGTAACTGCATGTAGGAGTAAGGTTGCGTACATCTGGTTCTCCCTAGAGCCTACAATGGTGGGAGCCTGTGCATTGGGCAGCCCTAGTTAATACCTTCTCATTGTGGCATTGGCTATTAGCTTTGAAAAAATATATTTCAGGACACAAGGAAACAACATAATATTTAGGATAAAAAAGAAAAAGAAAACTCAAGAAATGGCAACCGATCATTTTCCTCTGATAATCTCTCATCAAGGAAATGTCCTCGTATGTGGCCTTGAGAGGTCCATTCCGGAGCAAATTTATCCATGACATTCTTGCTTATCTCGACAAGTTAGTGATGACAACATAAACTAAAATTTTATTTGTTCGTAAACTATCGTGCATAACATTACAATTGTCATTCGAAATTTCTTGTCCACTAATTCTTATGAACTGCAGATGCTGGTCTACGAGTTTATGCAAAATGGTACTTTGCGTGATCACCTCTCTTGTAAGTTGTTATTATTCTCCTATGTTTTGCATTATTACTGTAACTTGTTTTCCTTTTTGCATATTGTTATGGTACTTCGTATCTTGTCGTAGTTGTGATCCAACTTCTAAAATCTAAATACACAGCTTTTGCTCTTTTGGGGCTCATGCTCTCAAAGAAAAGCCCGTGCTGATACTTGATGTGGACAATGAGTTTTCTGTTTCTCAGCGATCTGTTATCTACTATTCCTTTTACCTTGTCTAATCAAGGTTTTCCAAAATAAATAACTTCTATTCTTTGGAAAAAATTCCTTTTTTGTTCTGAGCATGTGCTCGCTACGTAATGTTTCTTCCACCAGAACCAGCTGGCTGGTGTTTTTCAATGCCTATGCTGCAGTAACTTGACTACTTATTCTCATTTTTGAGTACCGAGATCTGGATCTACAATAAATAAATTGAATTCCAAAGCCTTCGTAGGGAACTTTTCTTAGTTGGCAGCCTATGATAACTAGGCGGGCCATCATCACAATAACAATCAACTCTGGTCATTGCAATTTCCGTGTCCTCCAACACTTGTGTATGAGAGATCATATGGTTGATAGCTCTGCTATGTTAATACTTAATACTGTACAGTTATATTCTAAATATATAACTAATGGGACCTATTCTTTCATGGTAAGAGCTTAACCAAAGAAATGCTCTCCGATGTACAAGTTAAGAGTGGAGATCACAAGGTGTTGATACACAGAACAACCAGTTAAGATTGTAAGCTTCTACCAATATGTTATTGCATGCGTCCATATACTGACGCAACTGATTCCCATTTTCTGATACAATCATTCCAGGGCTTTGATCTGCCATTATGTGTTGTGAGCCATCTAGATACTTTGCTTGCACTTTTTATTTCGAAGAAAGTTTGAACTAGGGAATTGAGGGAGTAAATCTGGTATCTAAACCTGTTCATGCACTTGAATATTGTTTACTTCCATGGGGCATTCCTAGATCCTTTCATTTGGGCTAAAGGAGTGTTGTTATTGTAAAATCTGTGAGGATTGAGGAGCTTTTTGAAATCTAAAAACTGAGCTTGCCGGACTTATAAAAGTTATTGGTAGATTTTTTTTTTGATGACAAGGGAAACCTGGTCACCCGAGCTCAGAATTAACTCCTTCGGAGCCCCGCCAGTGGCCCTGGTTCGAATCCCCTCGGTTATTGGTAGATTTTTTCTGCTTATAATATTGTGCTTTCAGTGAGATGGAAGAAACAGTATTTGACAATCAGAAATCATTTACATAGCGTATGATTAACTTCAAGCAACAAATTGAAACAGCTCAGGATGCATTTCAGTACTGATATAGGGAGGATCAACTGTTGAGACTTGATAGATTGCGTTGAGATTAACAGCATTTTTATGCCTTGGTTCTTAATTGAACTTTAAGGTTCATGTCGATAATGTATTTTTCTCAGTTATGTAGATGTGAAGTGATTGGTTAAATTTTGTCTGAGATAAGAACTTTTGAACCCCTCCCTAACTAATAGTATCACCTGTATATATGTGGTGCTGCTTTTTCACTATTCCTGAAAAAACATCTGATTCCTATATATGAATAATTTATGAGGATTGCACGTGTACTGTCACTCCTATTCTATAAAGAGAATTAATTTCTTTAGGATACAGTTCTACAGATGGATTACAGGTTCTATGTATTTATGAAATTCAAAAAAGATTCTTCAGTCTACTGGGCTTCATGCGCAGAAAAGTAAACACTATCACAAGTCACAACCTACTTTTTCAGTCATACATTTTCTATTGATCATGGAGGAACAGTGCCTTATTTGCCACCCACTTCAATTCTTACATCATGACGACTGAAAAAGTTGTATTCTTATTAAATATGTTGGATCTAATTGATATTCTTTGGATAATTCGATATAACAGCTAAAGCAAAAGAACCTCCCAGTTTTTCAATGAAGTTGCGCATTGCATTGGAAACTTCTAGGGGTATTCTTTATCTACATACTGAAGCAGATCCTCCTATATTTCACCGTGATATCAAAGCGGGCAACATATTGTTGGACACAAAATTTGTTGCTAAAGTTGCTGATTTTGGGCTTTCACGGCTTGCGCCGGTAGAAAATGTGGAAGGAATTGTACCTGCTCATGTTTCAACAGTGGTGAAAGGAACACCGGTAAGTGTGTTCCAAGTTATACTTTGCAGTATTTCCGAGTACCTTTTCCTCCATAACATTGTCTCCAAATGTGTAATTACTAGCCATAATAATGCGAACTGTAATCTTTTATAGCAAGAATGTATCTCATGTATGAATATAATTCCGTCTTGGGTAATTACGATTATTTCTCCCAAAATTACCTTCATAACACATATCACCCGATGTTTTTCAATATATTTCCTTCCAAAGTTTATTACACTTGCATTGACATCGTACTGTTCAAAAAGGATCATGTGTTCATATGCGATCAGTTTATGAAAAATTGTCTTTTTTGCCATTTTTTGTAGTTTGAGAAAGGAGTTTTTTTAAAAAGACCTTTTTTGCTAAATAATTAGCATAACCGACCGTTTTGCTAATTATTTAGCAAAAACTGCCTATTCGAAACATACGGGACTGCTAGTCCCGTATGTTTAGTCGCCATTAATTGGCGGCTAATACCACCTAGAAAACCTACGGGACTACTTGTCCCGTAGGTTTTGGGTGTGGGCTACATCACACCCAGCAAATCTACGGGACTAGTAGTCCCGTAGATTTGCTGGGCTTTTGTTTTGGGCTTCTGCTTAATGTACGAGACTACTAGTCCCGTACGTTAAGTAGAAAGTTCGCCCAGCAAATCCACGGGACTAGTAGTCCTGTGGATTTGCTGGGTAACCTCTAAACATACACATGCCTCAATTGCTTCATATATAGTGTTTTTTGACCAAAAATTGTGCAAAAATATAGCACCCACTTCGTATACATTGATATACAATATAATATTTATAAAAGTTATAAATTTTAAGAAATATAAACACTGGATAATAACGCATTTAATCAATTCACAACATCACCACAATAGATACGTCACATACATATCAACATGACAAAATACTCTAAACAAATCCAAATGTATCAAGTTTATCCATATGATAATATATAGTCTAAGCTAAATAAATTCAAATGTATCAAGTCTATCCATACGAGAAAATATAGTCTAAATAGAAAAGCTAACAACCTAAAAGTCTTACCCCTCTCCCATTGTCTCCCTCTTCGCACCCGCTCAGATCGTCGGCGGCCTCCTTCGACTTGAGCTTGTATGTGCTCGCTCTCCGGTTGTGTGTGGGGCTGTGACAACCAGTTTCATCGTCGTGCGTGCAAGATCTACCACGTCTTCGTCGGCGTGCATATAACCTCTCCTCATGCGCCATCTGCTCACGACCTTCATGCCGATCCGCATGAGTATGATGAAAAGCTCTACGAACCCTCGTCACTATCCGATGTAATATCGATTGATTCACTGAATCTCCTGTGGCGGTAGCTATACCCTCATTTGCAATCCCCTCTATCTTGTCCATAACATTTATCTACAATTACATAAAAAGATATAATGATATATATAAGCAACCAAAAGCTAACAAGAGATTGAAAAAACTGTAATTTGCGTAATTTACTTACCCATTCTCTCTCATCTGCACCTCTTGGTACATATCTTGCTTGTTGAGAGCGTATATTGATTTGTCGACTGGAGGCGTGGTTTGAGTGATTATCCACCGTCTGGTAATCCCCCAATACCATCTAATGTAATCGACTTCCTCCATCGGAGGATAAAGCTGCTCGACAATAAGTTGATGCTGATCATTCCATCTAGCAATGTATGGATG